GTGTTAGCTGCAGCGGCCAACGCCGCTCCGCTCAACGGAACTCGCAACCCCGGCCATTGGTGTCCTCGCTCTTAAGATTAGGAGTGCGCAGGCTCAAAACGTTTTCTTATACTTTTTAATCACAGGTTTGAGAAAGGTGGACGTAGCAAACGTTGCTTGCCTGAGGTTCTCTTCATGCTTGACGTAATTTCGATTCACCTTCTGGAACACCAATGATATTTCTATAAATCAGCACCGATACATCAGTTCCAGCAAACCGAAACCGTTCTCACTGCTATCACAGTGGACCGCACAATAAGCTCGGGAAAATATCGATAACGGTTCTGCATGACCTGTCCGAATATTTCGATGTTATTAAGCATGTGAAATCGCTTAAAAAGTTCAGGGTTTCAAGTGTTGGCACACATGAACTGTACAAGAACATGCGAGGTCATGCCCAATAGGTTAGAGCTACTAGAAGGGACGGGACAACGCTCTTGTCCAAATACCTACCGAACATCGTCGGAGTCTTCTGTGCTGGCCGTTGGCCTCTTGGATATCATTGATTTGTACTGCCGAAATCAACCTTTACACAGATGACTTCATCACCGTTCAAGTGCAAACCTCAACTGCGTACAGCCGACCGCAACCAGAGCATCTGACTGGAACTAGTTCACAGCTAAAGACGGCATTCAGTCATGCGGTTGACTGGTTTTGCCGGGGCGGGAAGGAAATTAATGTCATTAAGACTCAGATGCGAATGCTAAGTGATCCCAACTGCCCGCCTCAACCATTCCCAAAAAGTCGATCATTAGATGCGAATGTTAAGTGATCCCAACTGCCCGCCTCAACCATTCCCAAAAAGTCGATCATTAGATGCGAATGTTAAGTGATCACAACTGCCCGCGTCAACCATTCCCAAAAAAGTCATTCATTAGACAGCTCGATCGTCAACTGCTTCCGTCGTCGCGATGGCGTCCCTTCTGCTCGCGATGCCTTCTGCTGCCTAAGCATCAGATAAATGACTAGGGCCGTACCGCAGTGATCGCGGACCGCGCCCCGCTCATCCCTACTGGCCGGGACGCGCCGTCGAGCCTGCTCCGCCCCCGTATCGTCACGTTTGACTCGCACCCCGCCGACGCGGCCGAGCTGGAGCTGACCCACGCCCTCCTGGCTGTTGCGCGGCGACTCTTGTCATCTGCTTACCGTCGCACTGTCCTAGAAGAGATTGCCACGATGTGTCACGGCCTGTATCTAATCGAGCAACATATTAAGACAATCTGACCTGAGTTCTTACTTTGAGCGGCCGGGAGGAGGGGGAGAGGGCACCGGGGGTCTGGTCATTTGGGCGCCTGGGGAAGGGGGAGAGGAAACCTGGACAGCCCTACTGACCCAGGGGTCAGTAGGGCTGTCCAGGGGTCGCCCGCCCTACTGACCCAGGGGTCAGTAGGGCGGGCGATGGCATATATGCGGGTCGAGGATGTGAGCCCAAGTAGGCGCTCCGTCTTTATTTTGGTGCATGATTACGTTTTTAGCCCTGTCCATGTATTGACTGCTCCGTAAAACCCAATGGCGGAAAAATATCAACAAATTGAAAATGAAAAACCGGAGGTGTCAGCAGTTCAGCACACAAGAAGGCCACTAGTCGGTAGCTAAAACTTTCAGAGCAAATTTAAATAACAGCGAATCTAGATGATCATGCAGCGCGATCTTCGCTTCATCGCTGCCCGTGGCTCGTTGAGGAGCACGTGACGACCGCGTAGCGTCCTGTCCTAATATTTGACCCGTATCACCGCCGCCGGTGCGGCTGTTTTTTTGTTTTTGAACACGCGAATTAAATGTTTGACAGGGGTTTTGTTCAATTTCATGACCAGGGAAGGCCCAGGGTTAAAAGCTCGCCTCCGATTTTTTTAAGATAAAGTTTGCCATCATAGGACTATAGTTGATCATTGCCCTTCTTTTTCTGACAGTGAGTTTCGACGCAATCATTGTCAGGCGACTTAACTGCCAGCCACATAGCGATATAAAACTAATAGCGAAATATGTCAGAAGCCTTCTTCCATGTCTCCTTGAACGCCAAAGCAGACGACTGATGCCCTAGTACGTTCATCGCTCAGACATTGCCTATCACCCCATGAAACACACGGCATTATCCAGCTCCAAACGGCTCGTAAATCAGTCAGCTTCTGCTTGCAAATCTCGGCCCGTCCTGGCTGGCGAGAGAAAACGTGACTATGGTGCAGTTGGTACCGCCATTGCACGTAGTCTGTTTTGGCTCAGCCAACGGCACAACCAAGACTGTTGCACGCAGTGGGCTGTCGGAAGACTCAGTTATCGAGTTTTAAGGGCGTGTCAACTGCACTGGTTATTTCCACCTAATCAAAATATTTTAACGTGTTTTTTTTACACAGCACACGTATGACACGCACCAAATCGAACAGCCGCGTATGTCAAAGAAGGCTGGGAACCAACACACGTGTTATTCATGTGACCATATCGTTGTCAAAAGCCGCCTCCAGCCATTTGCAAAGTGCCCTAGCTGGTTTTCAACACAGACTTGCGAATATGTTTATAACGAAGAATTTCGTGCCAGAGGCCTTTGATAACTCTTTTAAACACCTACCAAAATTGCCTGCTACCGCCGCAGCCCCAGATCTAGGGAAGGGAGCAGACTGGACAGGATGGGACTGGACTGGACTGGACTTGACACGCTCAGAAGGATTACGCAGACGTGTTGTCCCGTTCTGGACTATTCCAGTACATTGCCTGCGGACCGGGCAGGGCGCCGAGCGCCGAGCACGAGAGCGAGATCAACCAAGAGCCTAGTGACGGGAATTCATTGAAATAACTGTGCTTTCTGAACGCAGTATCGAGATGAGGTCTTCAACCCGCATATATGTACATATATATATATATATATATATATATATATTATATATATATATATATATATATTATATAAGACAGAAAATGAATTCCATTTGTTCCCTGGGCCTTTTTATTACAAACAACGTATCACATCGAGAAGAGATGGGCGCATCACATTGCTTTTCATTGCACTTCATTAGTTCATCGACTTAACTGTGCTATTCCAAGACCCTCGTCGAAAGGCACAGCGACATTCTCCACGCAACAAGCCTAAATGCGTCACAAAGAGAAATATGCAAAAGGAGTAAGATGTCAGGTACTTGGAATCATGTCGTGGACACGAATCTTGGAAAAAGAAAAAGCCAAGTCCGCAACGTCGCTGCTGTTGACACGCTCGTTGTACATATGCGGAGATCGATGGGATGCTCCCTGGCCACGCGTGCTCTTGGAGCGAGAGACACATAAATGGCCAGATTAACGCGTACTGCACTCGGTGTCTTCATGGCTGTCGGGGAGCTGAGAAAGTTAAGTCTCCGGTTCCCCGCTGGTCAACAATTTGTGTAAAACGCACGTGTCGGGGAAGCCAGAAACCTTCGGCCACTGCGCCAGCCAACCTGTCGTAAAGCATCCGACACATTGGCAAATTTACCGGCGTCCGTAAATCACGCCAGCTGCGAAGTTCAACGCTGTCTGCAAATTGGCAACAGTCGTGCTGTGCAAGCTCCGATAAACCTGAGGGCAACGGCCATGGGGAAGAGAAACGCGTCAATGATGCAGAACATTGGCAGGCAACACGGGTTTGACATTTAGGAGAGCGGCAATAGTGCCAAATGACCGCCAAGTGACGTGGCTTACGCGCAGTTCCCAGGGCGATGCGCGATCCATGGCCACACCCAAATTGTTCACATTATCTGGGCATCGAAGAGACATCTCTATATGCACGACGGTGGGTGATGGACGGGTCTGGTTGAGCTGGCACTTGTCTCCACATAACAAATGCTTCGTCGAGTAAATATGTCGTCAGAGTAAATGTTTCGTCTCGCAGTGTCGACCGCTATGCATGCTGGAGAAACCATGTGTCTTTGCATTATGTCCAGGACTGTCTCCAAGGACTAACGCAGACCTGACTGCCTCATCCGTGGTCATGTGACGACGAGCTGTCTGTCCTCAGCGTAACGGGCTACCGTTACACGGGAGTCGTTGATTTCAGGCGGTGTGTGGCAAGCGAGGTTATTGCTGGGCATGTTGAATAACAAAGGGACAAGGTAGGAGCCCTGACAAGTACTAGAAAACATTCCGCCCACTCTCACTCGCTGCGTGTAGCCCTCCAGATAGCTCTCAAACCATCCGGCGGAATTCTGGAGCAGCTGGAGCTTCATAAGAAGGGAAAGTGCCCCAACACACCAAAACGACGGCTTAGGTCTATAATTAAAAGAAGCCTCACTTGGGATCGGTCCATGCTATGCAAAATTTCTTCCGCAAAACTTAAAGGAACGGTACAGGTTGAGTGATGATCCATCCATCCGTGCTGGTCAGCGCTAAAAAGGCTTTAGTGCAGACGTGAATTGTTGGTGAGCGAATTTTCCCATTAGGTTACATATGACTGGAAACAGTGTGATCGGTTCGATGCTGCGGACGGGTCGCTCGTTTTATAAAGTGGTCTTATAGCGTCACTTTTGCAGCTAGCGGACACGGTTTCCGAGACGATGCTAATGTTGATAATGCGAAGCAAGGTTTGACCGATGGCGCCGAAGCCGAGTTTCGATGCTGAGTGATATGCCACCTTCCAAGTTCCTTGCTTTGTTTGGCAGTGAAAACAAGACTCGCTGAAGCTAGTCGAGTGTAACAGGCACGCTATTCCTTGCACTCGTGTTGACGCGGGGCAGGTGGACGTTCGATCCTTCGTGTCACGATTGACGGCTGTCGGTGATGACCTTGTCCCGGGGTTCGGTGTTGATGGGGATGATTAGACGATCAGTTTACCCGGCGCGACATTCAAAGGTTGGATTGGTTGGATGGGCTGGTTCCACAGGCTGGATATGTAGTCGAGCTGTGGCATGGGTACCGTTCATTCATTTCGGGTGCAGTTTCCATGTGGGAGTCACGGTTGGAAGTTGGCTGAAGCAATCTGACGCTCTTGCCGGCCGCTCCAGATACGTCCAACACGCGCCCAGTCTGGAGTCTGTCAGCCCGCGAGCATGGTACGACCTGCCGGCGCTCCGCTCGCTGTGAGTACCGCCGACCTGCTGCCGCTCCACTCGCTGTGAGTACCGCCGACCTGCCGGCGCTCCGCTCGCTATGAGTACCGCGCTGTGAGTTCCACCGACCTGCCGGCGCTCCGCTCGCTGTGTGTACCGCCGACCTGCCAGCCCTCCGCTTGCTGTGAGTGCCGCCGACCTGCCGGCGCTCCGCTCGCTGTGAGTACCATCGACCTGCCGCCGCTCTGCTTGCTGTGAGTACCCGCCAACCTGCCGCCGCTCCGCTCGCTGTGAGTACCGCGCTGCGGGTACCGCCGACCTGCCAGCGCTCCGCTCGCTGTGAGTACCGCCAACCTGCCGCCGCTCCGCTCGCTGTGAGTACCGCTGACCTGCCGCCGCTCCGCTCGCCGTGAATACCGCGCTGCGAGTACCGCCGACCTGCCAGCGCTCCGCTCGCTGTGAGTACCGCCACCCTGCCGCCGCTCCGCTCGCTGTGAGTACCGCGCTGTGAGTACCGCTGACCTGCCCGCTGCTCCGCTCGCTGTGACTACCGCTGACCCGCCGCCGCTCCGCTCGCTGTGAGTACCGCCAACCTGCCGCCGCTCCGCTCGCTGTGAGTGCCGCTGACCTGCCGCCGCTCTGCTCGCTGTGAGTACCGCCGACCTGCCGCCGCTCTACTCGCTGTGAGTACCGCTGACCTACCAGCACTCTGCTCGCTGTGAGTACCGCCGCCGAGACAGACGTCAACGCTACTGCTCTCCGCCGCGGCCACCCGTTCGTCCAGAAACCAGCATCAGCGGGGCTGAGTTGGCCAGAGTCTGATCTTGACCCTGTCAATGTGTTCTGAGGCACACGTCAGCTGCTCTCAGGTCAGCTCCTCAGCTTCCGAGAGTCCGGCCGCCGACGCTTACGTGGTCTGACAGCACTCGGCCGAGATCACCGGCGCCGTTTCGAGCCGTGAGCCGGAAGCACTGCTGGCCGCCAGGGGCCCGGCGGCTGTCACCGCCCCGTCGACGCGAGCCGCGGCCTGTCGGGCTGTGTCGGCGAGCTGTCGGCGCGAGATGTCGGCAGCATGACGGGCTGACCGGGCCGACCCTTGGCTGCTTTCCAGGCGGCTGGTGGGCACCGGTCTGGAGGGCATGCCCGACCTGTCCGGCCTGCAGACGGGTACCATCCTGCACATGATGTGAGCGGAACACCAGCCACCGCCGCTGTCCGGAACGTTCGTGCGTGCGCGGTTCAGGCCAGTTCAGCCGGGGCGGAAAACGTCGATGATTTCGCGGAGGGGGAAAGTATTTGTTTGCATGAGTTGAATTGATATGCAATGGGCGTCCTAGTGTCTTGTTTGCATTGAAGGGTGACGAAGGTTGCGATAAAGTTGATTATATTGTGTCATCATGCGACATAACTATACAAGTCATCTGGACGTAAAGCGTTCAGGAGATAAATGTTTCAAGTAGTTAGCAAAATCTTGGCGACTGCTGTCGGTAGCTTTATCGAGCCAACAAACCTGACTTTTTGTCAACGACAAGTTCCAGAAGGAGGAGCATAACCACGATTAGTCATATGATTCCGTGACGGTCGGAGGACGCCAATGTTCACACCTCGACTGACGTGACCAGCGACAGGTCGCACGGTCACGCGTGCGTGCGGTCCCGCGTGCGTGCGGTCACGCGTGCGTGCGGTCACGCGTGCGGTCCCGCGTGCGGTGCGGTCACGCGTGCGTGCGGTCACGCGTGCGTGCGGTCACGCGTGCGTGCGGTCACGCGTGCGGTCACGCCGTGCGTGCGGTCACGCGTGCGTGCGGTCACGCGTGCGTGCGGTCACGCGTGCGGTCAGCGTGAGACAACGGCTCGGCGGAAAGTCGGCCGGGGCCTGCTTTGACGCGAGAATCGCCGCCGTGTCCTCCAGAGACGGGCACGTCAGGCAGAGCTCCGACGTTGACGGCGGAATCCGTCCTGGAGCGCACAATATTGTCACATGTGTCATCGTCGGTTTGGCCTTCTGAACAAATGACCCCACTAGCTTTCCCACTGATGAAAGCTGTCCGAGGAATATCCAATCTTCTTGTAATCTATTTCCGGGGACGAAGCTCGGGCAGACTACAAATATAGCCCCGAACCCTGAGTCTGGCTCGTGAAGCTGCTTCTGTTGTCAGTAAATGTAATACAACAGAGGGCGGGTAGCACTATCCGTAGAAATTTTAACCGACGTGGTAGGCAAGGATTGAACTTGCATTTGAATTAACGAAAAGAAGTGAAGTCCAGAGTACTTCATTTCATTTCATTAAAGTTTCATCTCCTAAAGCTGGTTAGAAGGAAGACTTCTTTGAAAAACACGGTTGATAGTTCAAATGTAGCAATACCCATCGTCTTTTGGGGATAAAGCTCTGCCTTCCATTGGAAAACAGACTTCGCAATGAGATTCGTTTGCCAGCTCACCAATGTCCGCCATCAATCGTCGTCAAAGATGATTGTCAAAGGGATGAGGCCCATCAGACCAAGTTGAATATGAGAAAAGCTGTCACGTGACCCTTTGTCATACATCCCCTCCTTTTGCCAGGGCCTTTCCTAGTTTACCACCCGGTCGACCCCATATAAGTGAAATGCCTCGCGTCAGGTACCGAATTTGGTGGTACTGTAAAAACGTCTGTACCGCACCGTTCTGCTGTGTTTGTCTCTCGCGGCTATTGCTTTAATCGCTTTATGTATTTGGCTGAAAGCCATAGGATTTTCTGTCGACAGGATTTACATTGCCATCACTATAGTTAACTGATTTTTGTACTCTGAGTTTATTCTTATGTTCAGATTTGTATTTGAAGTTATGCTCAAAGGCTTCATTATTTAAGTAATTGCGTGGAGAAAACTTGTGGTAAAAACGCTTCTTCTGTCCTTCGTCCTGCGGCAAGCACTTAATCATCCGTGCTTTTAAAGGACTGACATCTCATTTTCTTCTTAACCGGAAGTACTCGTGACGATTTTTTTATCGAATCATGACAAACTATAATGCTGCAATGATTCCGTCAAGTAATTTTGTCTTCTATGTACCAAATGGAGGCAGGTAGCGCTTGATAGCGCTTCCATTATGACGGCATTATAGCCAATAGCGCAAGGTCAAAGACGAGCTTGTGTGTGAAATATTGCCATTTTTGGCTTTACGCCAGCGTGCTATTTGCGCTCAAATGTGATGCTTGTACTCTCCGCGAATATCTCAGTATTTCAGGGACCGAGATTGGTTGACTCTAAAAGCTGCTGACTGGATAAAAATGTTCCGGGCAAGGAAAACAAAGTTGAAAGTTAGCGGGACTTACTACTAAACTAAACTTACTCATCCCATTAAGTCGTATATTCATGGTCGCACACCAATATGTGCTTAAGATGTGTTATGCACGCAGACCAGATGTTTATGGCGCAGCATTATCATTACCTATTGAAAAACCAATTCGACGTCATCACCTTGTCAAACTTGAACTCCTGTCGCATGCTGTGTGCAAGAAGAATCAAACTGATAATGACCACATTTTCCAGTGACCTGGACGGAAATAGGATCAAGTCACTACCAAGTAACAGCATTAACATTACCACCGATCAGCTGTAAGTACTGATTGCACCGCATCGTCAGATGCATGGATAATGGAAGCACGAACTCCCAACCTGGTCCTTACGTCATGCTCGTGTCATGATTCCGTGACCTAAGGCTGTCTTCGCAACGTGGCCAGATCCTAATCAAAGCAGCTGCAACGCATGCGTGTCTTTAGTTTCTTTTAAAAGCACCCAAAGTTGTTGCCGACGTCAGCTAGGGAAGGTTCTTGGGCGCCCGCCACGTGGCCTCGGGCCCGCCGATCCGATGGGAGCGGGGTGTGGCCGGCAGCTTGAACTCACGCCGGCTCGTTTTAACAAGGATTTATTTGCCAATAAGTTTCCCTCGTCAGGGCGGCCGTTGGCTGATTCGTATTTAAAGTGTCCGAGATGACTGCGGCTAGCCCTTATGCTCACTCAGAACAAGCTGCGACACCAGACGTCGAGAGCGGGAGTGTTGTGCCGGCGACACTGTATAGATCGGTCGTGCTCATGTCACTCAACTCAGACGGCACAAGCCGTACTTAATTGAAAGTGCGCCTTCTTCTCCGCCGTCAAGACATGCGCAATGAAAGGAAACAGACAGGGCTAGAGATACCAGACGACCACCGGTGTGCGTGTCTTCATTTCGACTACCTTTTCAGCCAATGGAATACTGAGCTATTTTGGTACGCCTTTGCGCTGCAACATCGCAAATCAAGATTGCGCAACTTTGCACTCGTTTCAGTGAAGTTGGCCCATTACCGGTACGCCGCGCGGCCCTCGTCGGCCGACTGCCACGAACACGTGCTGCGTCCATGACCCAACTCGTGGCGAGCGAGTTGGGTTGAAACTGACGGCCATGGAGCGCCACTGCAGCGCAGGCTGTCAAGGTGCCAAAATTTCGAGGAACAACTCTGAATGGACTCATAGCCTCGATATCGCTCGGCCGTTTCCGAACGCGACACTGATCGTCGGCCTTCTCCGGACGCGACACTGATCGTCAGCCTTCTCCGGACGCGATACTAGTCGCAGGCCCTCTCCGGACGCGACACTGATCGTCGGCCTTCTCCGGACGCGATACTAGTCGCCGGCCCTCTCCGGACGCGACACTGATCGTCGGCCTTCTCCGGACGCGACACTGATCGTCGGCCCCTCTCCGGACGCGACAACTGATCGTCGGCCTTCTCCGGACGCGACACTGATCGTCAGCCTTCTCCCGGACGCGATACTAGTCGCCGGCCCTCTCCGGACGCGACACTGATCGTCAGCCTTCTCCGGACGCGATACTAGTCGCCCGGCCCTCTCCGGACGCGACACTGACCGTCAGCCTTCTCCGGACGCGATACTAGTCGCAGGCCCTCTCCGGACGCGACACTGATCGTCAGCCTTCTCCGGACGCGATACTAGTCGCCGGCCCTCTCCGGACGCGACACTGATCGTCGGCCTTCTCCGGACGCGACACTGATCGTCAGCCTTCTCCGGACGCGATACTAGTCGCCGGCCCTCTCCGGACGCGACACTGATCGCCGGCCCTCTCCGACGCGACACGATCGTCGGCCTTCTGACGTCGGCCGACCGACCCAGAGGGCCATCCAGTGAAAGTTAGCATGCAGCACGCGCCGGTGCCGGACGGCGTGGAGTTGCGGAGCGCGCCCCCGGCACGTGCATACGCGCCGGTCGACGAGCATCCCGCCCAGGGCACGCGTCCCATGATTGTCTGTCATATCGCCCCAGCGCTGTGAGAGGCATTTGGGGGCGCAATTCGGCGCGAGCACAGCGCACGGGACCAATAGCTTGGCTTTGATGGTGGAAGCGGCTTGAAGTCAGTATGGTGCGACGGAGATGAGATGAAGTTAGTAATGCAGACAGACCAACAAGCTGGCCATTGTCATGCCTTCGTTGCTGATTACTTGCCGATAATGATATCGAAGAATGGGGCAAGTGATATATATATATATATATATATATATATATATATATACATATATATATATGAAATCAAATTGGTGAAATCAATATATATATATATATATATATATATATATATATATCATTAAGAACATGCTTCGTACGTGTTTCGGCAGTGGAAGCAGAGGATGTAAAACCCTGTCCCCTGAACAACGATGACATTAATGTTTCGTAGCGATGCAGATCTATGCAAAGCATAAATGCAAGACGTTCCTTTTCGATACCAGGGATTTGGCAAAGGTCGTCGGCTGGGGTGGTTCCGTATTGGCGTGTGCTGATAAGGGCTACTGCATTGTTGTAACTCCACTGAATGCGATAGCCAGGCTTCTGCCGAAGCCATGGGTAAATCCAATACACCGGACAGTGCCGATGAGATCCACTGATAGCGTTCCAGTTCGCCCACGCAGCGCTACTTTACAGCTAAAATTATTTACTTCATCAGCACCTTGACGTCATTCGATGCCGATATGGCATCGAATCAGGCCGTGAAAATGAATTGAAATGGAAAGTGCAAAGTATGCCTTCTCGATCACAATTTGTTTGAATTTGTAGTTGGTTATCCTTATTACATATATATATATATATATATATATATATATATATATATGCAGGGCATGCGCAGCATGCACGGCAGATATCACTTATATAACGAGCAACGCAGTACATGTTAGGGCTGTGGCGGTGCGGTGGCGTGTCAAGGCGCCGGTCCTGTGCAGCGGCTCACCGGTACAGGCATGGCCACTGGAAGGGAGCGGGCGGGTGTGACATGGTCCACTCTTCTCACTTTCCCGGAAAACTGAGCGTTACCAGAATGGTGATGCTCGGGAAAAATGTGTTTAAAAACGAGTTTGGACATGCGTTTTTGGGAACTGTGGTCGTGCCTGGTTAAGGGTAGGTGGCAACAACAGACGGCTACTGGCGCAGTGACGATGTATATTTTCATGCACTACTGGACATGTCACGATCCGACGGGCACACGGCACCTAACCAAACGTCATTGTTAAAAGAGTTGGCGGAAATATTGCATAAGCGGACGGCAGTGTTATTTGTATTGTTTAACCGTACGCACACGGCGTTTGAAGACGCGCCACTGCGTATGGTGCTCACTGCGAACGGTCTGACAGCTGGTGCCAGGGCGGAGGACCCGTGCCGTCGTCCGCAGGATTTCAGTCAAGCGGAGTGCCTCCCTGGTGTCATGTGCCGTCCGAGCCTCGGCTGCGGCCCCGACTTGGGACGCTGCTGCGGCCCCGACTTGGGACGCTGCTGCGGCCCCGACTTGGGACGCTGTTACGGTCTCGACTTGGGGGCGTTGTTGCGACCCTCGACTTGGGACGTTGTTGCGACCTCGACTTGGGACGCTGTTGCGGCCCCGACTTGGGGCGCCGTTACCGCCTCGACTTGGGACGTTGTTACGGCCTCGACTTGGGACGCTCTGGAGCGGTTCGGGGTTCGGTGCGCTCTGGCTGCGTCTTGGCGATGGCGTGGTGCGGCAGATGCCGCTCATGCTTGTGTCGCGTTCTCCGCTCCGGTGGCTGCAGGTGACGCGCCTAACCTTCATGGATGTGTCCTCGAACGGTACCGTCGCACGCCCGCGCCAGCTTCGCCTTTGGTTCAGCTCGCCTGCCGTGTAGCGGGGTCTGGGCGGCACGTTACCTAAGTTGCTGGCACAGTCGGTGACGCATAGCGGGGTCTGGGCGACACGTTACCTAAGTTGTTGGCACAGTCGGTGACGTATAGCGGGGGTCTGGGCGGCACGTTACCTAAGTTACTGGCACAGTCGGTGACGCATAGCGGGGTCTGGGCGGCACGTTACCTAAGTTGTTGGCACAGTCGGTGACGTATAGCGGGGTCTGGGCGGCACGTTACCTAAGTTGCTGGCACAGTCGGTGACGCATAGCGGGGTCCGGGCGGCACGTTGCCTAAGTTGCTGGCACAGTCGGTGACGTATAGCGGGGTCTGGGCGGCACGTTACCTAAGTTGTTGGCACAGTCGGTGACGCATAGCGGGGTCTGGGCGGCACGTTACCTAAGTTACTGGCACAGTCGGTGGCGTCCACAGCGGATCGGTCTCGGGGCGCTCGCCGGCGCACCAAGAAGTGCCGCGCGGCGCGTCTCGCCCAACGTTACCCTACTGGGACCGCCGGGACGCGTGGGTGTACTTCGCCCGCAAGGACTCCGCGAGGACTCCGTAAGGACTCGGAACGTTATCCTCGCGCTTCGCTCGTGCAGCTCCGAGTCACCGGTCACGCGGATTCAGGTCCCACCTTCACAGATGGCACACGGCGCTCGTGGGTAGCGATCGGAAAGCTTTCCGGCTGTTACCCAATCGAGGCTGGGTTTTCACCGCCTGGGGGCACCGATAGGTCCCTGGCGTACTTCCAACGGCACTATCCGCTGCAGGGCGTCCGTTCCGACGAGCAGCCCGGCTAATGTGGCGTAACATCCGCCAAGTCCAGGGCAGGCACGTGTGGCTACTCTGGTTTTCCGCGGGCCAGTTCACCGTCTGCCGGGACACCTTGATTACCGGCGTTCTGCGAGCGCCGCTGGCCGTGTATGAGTCATCCCGGCTCATCGGCGGCATCTGCAGCTCGTCGCCGTCGTCATTAGGACTTAACGGCACGCTCAGCTGCTGAGGCTATATGACGTCACCTGCCTCCCATCCCGGTATAAAGGGCGGAAACCGCGGGGAATCGAACCCCGTACCTCTGATTTCCCAGATCGCAGTGTAAGCCCCACCTGCAGCTCGCCGAGCTTCGAGGCATGCGTCAAGTTGCCAGCGGTTGCACCCAGGCGCAGCGGCTCAGTAATAGGGGTCCAGGGGCCCCCTGCAGCCCCTGGTCCGACGCCAGCTCCGCGGCGACCTGGTGTTCAAGGTCAAGGGAAATAGGGCCACGGACTTATCCGTGTCCGAAGTGCGGCAGCACGCCTTGTATCAACGGACACCGGTTGGCTTTCAACTAGCTTACGTTAGGTCGATGACCAACAGCGTTTTGTCATGCATAGTGCAGATATTTGGGGAGTTCTGCTCGTTATGACGGACATGAGGCTTGGATTCGGATAATTTAACAATAGTGCCGTAACCGAAAATGCAAACCAGGTAACAAAATGTCATCACGGAAAAAATATATATAAGGTCATAATGAGGACGGTTCCAAATACGCGCAAATAATGGTGGTCGGTGTTTTCACACCTTAAACCTACCTTGTTGCGGCCAGTTTATTTTAAGCACAAGTCAGTCAGCCCGTCCGTTACAGTGACAATTCTGACACGGGCTGTCTGGCAGCGACCCTTACGTCCTGATGCGCTCCATGACGCAATCAAACAATAACGTATTGAGGAGAGAATTTCTACGAAATGGTGAGGTTTTGTTATCTAGAAGAGTCATTTGCACACCAATATCAAAGCGCACCAATTGGTAGTTACGAGTGAGGTTTTTCCATCACACGTGATGCTTGCCTCAGTAGATTTTAATCTTTGATATTCTCTGTAAAGAGAGCGTTACACATTTTGACGTCTGCATTTGACATGTGACATTTATATGGAGTTTTTCACTGAAATAGCCATCTTGAAGATCATTTGGTGCAGTTCAAAGTCTTGCCTTTCTTGAGGCCTAAGCCCCGGCAGTTCCTGAGCTTCATGCCCACAATGATGTGCGGACCATTTTGGGGAGATCCTTTGAACCATTTTATTTTTCACCCAGGCATTCATGACGCATTTATGACGCATTGATAGGCATCCATGACGTATAAATCCATGTCGCATTTATGGCATGCCTAATGGCCATGACGTTGGCATGACCATTAGGCATGTCATTCAAATCCTGCCGCTCCATTAGCCATGCGGCGATTAGTGCCAGGAAAAATAAGATTGCCGAGTCGTTAATATCTGGCGTTGGTGAGGACGATTTTCGGATATGATGGTCATCAATTGGTCCTCAATCAATGTGGTGTGGAATACTGCGACGTAATCACACAATTATCTTTTGAGGAGCATATTTACTGAACAGGGAAGTTGCGTTGTGTAGAACAGTCTTGTCCTCTCAGAAGTATGCCCATGGTTATAAGTGAGCTTATGCTATTATATCGCATGCTTATTCCAATACTTTAGAGGGGCGCCACAGCCCCCCTATGTAGCTTTCTATTCAAATGAAGTGGTTCACCCCCCCACCCCCTACTGTTTTAAAAAGGAAGTCAGTCAAATTCGGAAGAAAACGATTAAAGAAGACGCAGGTCATAGTTTTAGCAATCCTTCCTTGCTCGGTCCCTCACCCACTAGCGCGACATATTTTCGGAAACCTCACCATGGCCAACTGTGCTCAGCAAAAGTAAAAAGTAAGACCACACTATTAGCCTACTGCCACTTTCTGCGGGCAAAGCAGCATCGACTGATGCAAGCAATGCACGTAATGTCTTGATCTCGTTTCGTGAATGCCTCGTGCGTTTTAGTGCTAATCCAGGCCATGCACATGAACGTGCAAGTTCGAGTAAAACAGCACAGGACATTAGTTTGTCGACACAAGAGAACACTAGCCCGGATAAGCATTGATATACCCCGAACCCCACCAGGCGCTCTTAACATGCCATCTGATTCCAGGAAGTGGTGGGCACAACAGGCTTCGTCCATTGCCGAAATGTGGCTAAGGGATATTTTTTTTTGTTGAACGGTTGGGCATCCAAAACTGGCAAGTTGAGCCCGCAGGGTATTGACATGAGCCGTTTCGTCTGCACATCGCGGGATGACCCCGAGGGATTGGGAACGCTAGTACGACCAGGAGTGCCAGCATCTCGCTAGTACGGTCAGGAGTTCCAGCATCTCGCTAGTACGGTCAGGAGTTCCAGCATCTCGCTAGTACGATCAGGAGTTCCAGCATCTCGCCAGAACGATCAGGAGTTCCAGAATCTTACCAGTGTATGAGGCGTGCCGCCGGGGGAGCAGCACCGCGGCCAGCAACATATTCTAGGGCGGGAGATCGTGACCGTATCGTGACCGACCGTGAGACCGTGACCTGATCGTGACCGTACCGTTTCAGCACCCCAGATTGACAGGTGCTTGCGCAGGAGGACGACTTGGCACTTCTGAGGCTAATTCCAGACTTTTGAGGCGCCTCGCAAGAGGCTTTTTACGATCTGGTGCAGATGTTCCTCGGGAATTCTGACTTCATTGTTTGTTGTTCTTCATTCGTTTTCTTTGATTCCCCTGCTGTCCGTCATACCACAATGCGTCGTGTCGCAGACAGAGCTAGAACGAAGAATGGTCGTGACTGCTGAGGCGGCTATTGGCCAAGATCTGGAGCTGCATCTTCTGCGCCACGTCTTAGCCCCCCCCCCCCCCTCAAACAGTGTAGCCTTCCCCTCTCACGAAAAGCTGCTTTACCTGTCCCGTGAAGACCCATCATCACGCGACACATTTATTTTGCGACCCATGCCTTCGTGCCACCTGGGAGCTCTTGCACCATGAATGGCTATCATAGTGGGTAATGCCATGCAAATTCTCCCCATGGCGTACGCTTCTGTAGCTTAGTAGGCTCTTAGTTGTAACTTAGTAGGCTATCGTTCTATTGGGATAAGGAGTGGGCAGAATTTAGATTGACGGTTTGCCTTCGGGCAGCGAGTGGTCACAAATGTTTCTAAAGCTTTCAGCCCGACTTCATCTGAGTCTCGACACTGCCAGCGGCGTTGTGGTCTGAAAACGACGCTTTCTGCGCCAGATGATCCAGGGTTGCTGATGCTCTTAAAATTGGCAAAATCATTTCAATGGTTCAAGAGATAGGGAAGTTGCCATAATAACGTCTCCCAGTAAATCCATGCTAGCCTCCCCCATCCATACTCCGGTTGATGCTGGCTTAGTCATAATACCATTGAACTTTTCGGACCGTCGTTGAGCCCTGGTATAACAGACGGAGGCACCACTCATGCCACACATGGCGATTGTCGGCCGGGATTTTCGGGCGGAGCTGATCTGCGCGGCTAGTTACCGCCGTCGGCGGACGCTCGTCTGCGACAGCGCAGAGCACAGGTAGTGCTGGCGCTGGCCGGCCTGCCGCTGCGGCCCCTGGCAGCGAGCCCCGCAGCCGTGCTGACGGAGTAGCACGCATGAGCGGCCACTGCCCGGGGAGGTGGCTAGCCGCGGCCGGCGCGTGCAGCGCTCAGGTCAGGGGTGGGTGGTGTCCATCGCGGAGAACGGTGAGGTGCCGGGCGCCCAGAGGTAATCACGCCGTGGTGGGCGAGGCTCGGCTCATGTGCGGGACCTCTCAGACGGATATTGCTCGGTGCGCTGCCCGGGAAGACGCCACTCATGGCGGTCTCATACTCGGCACATACGGAGATTTATGCACCGGGGCTCATATTTCACGGATGTGAGACACTGGCTGGCTATCTCAGTCGAAGAAGTCGTTGTTTGCTGTTGCGATAAACTGGCGACCATGGTGAAGGGTATTTTGTAGCAGCGCCAGCTACAAACGTCTTGAAAACAGCCAATCTTCAAATGTCACGCTGCACGCAATAACTTACCGGCTTTATCGCGGCTGCTTTCAGCACGACGTTCGCCTCAATAACGGCGTTCGCAAGTCTGTGTTCCATTCCGGGTACTGCGGCACCTCCTTATAGCAAGCTGGTCCACAACATTCAGACGCCAGCAGGTCGCAGTTTTTTAAAGATTTGATCCGAACCCTTTGAATGGATGGATTTCCGGGATCAGAGCTCACGCTAAGCAATGTTTGTTTGTGCGAGCCCTGACCCCTGACATCCGATGGCGCAATTCCAGGTAAACGGCAGAACTTGGAGGCGAAAGTTTAACGTGCCGCAACGCTCGACATAGTCCGTTCTGCCCTTTGACGTCAACTGACCTTTAGCGCGGCCGCTGCCACCGGCCGCAGGCCATACCTGTCAAGGGCAAATAGCGAGCGCCCTGAAGCGACTCGAGCCCACCCCGCCACGGGTGGGTGGATCGGGAGGCAGGCGCTCTAACCAAACTAAGCCACCGGACGGACAGTTGACCAGTATTGATCGATTTGTCTCGTTTGTTTTCAGGTCTCTTGCGAACAGTCAACTGGAGTCCATCTCAGACTGGGCGTTCAACGGATCTCGCATTGGGACACTGTGAGTGCGAGCTCTGGCAGCCAAGTGTGCGTGCATCTTCACACAGAATATGCATCTTCGACTTGCTTACTACTGGCAGGATGGGAACAGACCCGTTTTGGCGAGACACGTAGGCATGGATGGCTAGCTATTACCAGCCCTGGTAATAGTCCTTTAGTCGTGCAGCACCGATATGCCTTGTGCAAACTGTTGTGTGTCCGTAATGGATATGGGGAAATGACAGCTGACAAAATCTGCAAGCAACCCAACAGGGCAATAACAATGCGTGTTCCCTAT